ACACACACACACACACACACACACACACACACACACACACACACACACACACACACACACACACACACACACACTCCTGGCGTCACGCCCGGCCCGCTGGCCCCGGATTAACTCAATTAAGCCACTAGGGCAGAGGAGCGATCATTTGATAACCGCTTGGCAGGAGCCCCGGCAGAAGCGCTAGGCCTCCGGGGCCGGGCGGGACTGCCGCTGCCGCCTTTGGATATTTCCATCCTCCAGCCGCCTCCGGCGCTTCCAGTCCTCCCTGCACGAAGTCTATTCCTGTCCTCTGCGGCTGCTACGATACCACCACATTTGCAGCGCGGGACTCAGAAAGGAGGAGTCGATGTGGTTCCCCAAACTCTAGCCAGGCCGCACGTGAGAATGCCGCGACGCGGCGTGTCGGAAAAGAAAGTCGCGTGTCACTTTGACACTCGATGTGACGCGACACTTGTTTCCCATGACGAGACAAACACCGCGGTGGCCGTCGTGCCCGTCGAAAGTGTGTCCCGCGCTGGTCCACATTCGCCGCCGTCTGCTAATCCAACAGAGCGTCCCATGGTTTTGTTTAAGCAATTCGTACGTTCCCGCGTCAAAATCAAGGAATCTGGCTGGCGCCATGACGGGTGTCATCAATCATTTGACTTATCTGAGAAACAGAGCGGATTTTGCGGACTTCCGGTGTCAAAGATACAATGGGTGGCCCACCCACAGACCCTGGACAATTTCGTAGTTCTACTGTACCAAAGTGCACAAAGAGCAATACTATTCAAGGCACTACGCCTATCCTCCAAACGTGCGATAGGCCAACTTGCCGACTCCGTGCCCGACCGAAACGCCCGCGAAGTAGGCCCGCCCGCTGCACCTCGCTCCCCCACGCTCTACGCTCCACGGACCGACCTCAAGAGCATGTGGCTTTTCCGGGCTTTACCTCTTTCCAGTTCGCCGATAAAAGTAGACAGTTCAATCAATGACGCCATAAATTGGACGAATGTATTTTATATTTTCACAGGTCGGACTGTTCAAACAGCTCGAAGTAACAAGAAAAAAAAACTTAATTTAAAACTTAATTTAACTTAATTTAAAACATTTCACAAATCCTTATGAGTATTGAGCAAGTTAGCTGACAAGCAGCAACCTACATTATGGATAGCATGTTTAGCACGCAATGAGAGAAATAATCCTAGAATTGCTGTGACTGACATACCCCGCAAACCACTTCAACGGATGGGGGCAAAAATCTGCGAATGGTCCGTTGCTGTAGCATGCAGTCAGCGGCCTGCCTTAAGCACGGACCATTTTTCACATGACGTAGAAGCACAAGTCGCCGCAGCACCCGCAGGCCGCACGCCGCCAGCTCCTGGCCCAGGTCGGGAAAGTAATAGTTCCTCCAGTATCCAATGGGAGAGTACGAACAGAACACACGAAGCTCCTGCAGAGACGAGGCATTGGCGCGAATAATTGAAAGCATGGTCGGCTTGTGGTCGGTATCAATAGCCACGCCGAGCCACACCAGTCTGTCATGCTGCGAGGTACGCACAGTCAGATTCGGGCCACAATAATTGTTTATCGTCAAGCTGCGCAGCCTCGGCATGCGCTCCACACAACGCAGCTGATTCTCAGTTACAGAATATAAACTGAGCTCTTCCAGCTGTAACGGAAGGTCCGGGTATTCCACATTATGAGCGCATTCAACTTCCAGCCTTCTGAGTCCCGACATCTTCTGCACCTCCTCCATGACGCTCGGCTGAACGTTCCCCCAGATCTCCAGCTCCTCGAGGTGTGGCCCTATGACCCGAAGCAGGTCCTCAGAGCCGTCGCCCCTTAAGTGCCGCAAACTGCGGGGAGTGTTCCATTGCTTCTTGACGTCACGAAGAATGTCATTCACCTTTAAACTACCATCCTGGAGGTGTGCATCATTTATCGTAAGGATATTGATGAGAGGCGGCCCCACGTGAGCCGCAGCAGGGCCGTCAGTAACGGCGATGGCGTCGTCAACCTGGAGCGATAGACAGTGGATGAGCACCTCGTCAACACCAAAGTAGCACCGCCCACCTGCCTGGTGACTCACCTCTCCCAGCTGGCCGTCCGCCCGCAGCCGCAGCAGCAGGACGCGCAGGATGTCGCCGCACCCGCCGGGCTGCACAGAGGCCGTCCAGGACGAGCCACCCTCCTCTTCGGCAGCGACGGTGCACTTGGTGGAGGTGAGCAGGCGGTGGCTGGCCTCCAGCTGCTCGGCCAGCTGCAGCGGCTCCTCCACGGCGTCCGACGTGGTGCCCACATCGCCGGCCGCCTCCCGCTGCACCCGCCTCTCCAGGGCCTGCTCCACCTCGCCGAGCTGGGCGACCGACCACTCCAGCTGGCGGTTCAGCACCTCGACCGCCTGAGGAACCACCAGCCGCAGCATCTCCACCACCTTCCGCCCCGCGACCGCGCCCCGCTGTAGTTGCTGCAGCTCTGGATCCTCGGTCCGAGGCTTCTTGCAGGGTGGTGCGTCCTCCTCTATCAAGCGGATCAGTGGGACGTTGTCTGGGATATCATCAGTTTTGAACGCCTAAAGGAGGTAAGAATATTTTTTTACATATTTTTTTTTTGTCAAGATACTGGGGGTCATGGGAGCACAGAAGTTCAATTTTGTGTGATTTTTTTTGTTTGATTGTTTTCGAGGGAGCCGTGGAGTGGCCGTTGTTCTAATGCTTTTTATAGTCATGAGTATGACAGACAAGATGGTCTCTTTCTTCAAGCAATTAATACAATCATTTTAAATATTAGATGTTTTGTCTTTTTAATTTTGCTATTTTTCTTTGAATGTACTATAACTGCATGAGATTTAGTAAGTGTAAAACACATTGACGAGGAAAGGCAGAGAAGCAGATAAATCTAAATTAGTTTTCTAATGTTATTACTATCCCCATCTTACGGAAACATACTTTTCTGTTGTTTGTTGGCAACTAAAACCACCCCCTCTTTACAATCATGTTATACTTCTAAAAGATTTCACCAAAGAGTAGGAAATGGTGAATACCCATACAGAAATAGCTTACTGACCTTCTGGCAAGTTGGGCACTTCTTTCTGAAGGCAGGATTCTGCACGCATCCTTTACAAATGGTGTCTCCACAGGGTAAATTTTTAGGACGGTGGGTGTCCAG